ATGTAAAAGTACTTCTGAGCAAAGGAGGGTTGTTTTTTTTTTTCTATTTATGCCTCTAGCGCTCGCTTGCTCTTTTTGCACTGAAAAGCTCAGAAGTGTAAAATATGTTGCAACTGTTAATAGCCCTTTAAACTTTGATCTCTGTCTTACCTCTATGAATTTTTCCCCCTTCTCCTATTTCCATGTATTTCTACAGTCTTATCACCATCTGTTTCTCTGCACTTTATTTATCTCATATTCTGGATATAATTAAGGAACTATGTACACAGTCCACACACTTACATCTACCTGAATCTTTCTGAAAAACCTAAGAGCCTAAATGTTCTTTGTTCTTAAAAAAAAAATGTGATGGAAAATAGCAGCTGCCTCTTCCAAATGACTCCAATTCATCCTTTTAAAAAAACAGTCTCACATGGCTGAGAAAAGACCAATTTCCAACTGCGTATTAGAAACCAGAGAAATCAAAACCAGAATTAGCTTGGACCATCACCTCATTCTAAATAAGACAGATTCACACATGCATCTTCTTTCAGAGTGTCTATGTACCAGTCTTGATCAAAAGTAGAATCATGAAATATCAGTACTGTCTCAGATAACTGTGTCCATTGCTTTTGAGAACCACAATTCAGAGACTTACACAATTATCATCCCTTTTGTACTAGCCCCCACTGGGATTATATGGCAAGTTCCCTCCCCCCCCCCCAAGAATAGGGCTCTGGATAAGTATTTGATGCTACAGTCTCCCGTTTTTTTTCAAGTGGTGCTATACAGAATTCCATGGAAGCATATAAGGAATTAGTTCATAATGGTTTTCAAAAAGAAAAATAAACATAAATAAAAGACAGCTTGTTCATCTGCTCTAATATATCCTTTGCAGTAGGCAGTTATAGAAGAGGGTTGTTTGGAAACTCAGGGGTCACACATGAGTGACTAGTAAGAAACAAAAAAAAGACAATACTAAAGCAGAAACAGGAGGAAGAGTTAGACTTCTGGCAATATTTCATTCAGCTCAATTACTTCTTTTAGTTGCTCATACAATCTGCTGATCTCATTCATTTAAATATGTAATTTCAAGCAAGACCACCACAAAAATATTTCATGCATCCAGACCCAAACAATTTTTTGCCCCATTAAATAAAGGAGAGGAGGATCATTTTTACACATGACCTCTTCATTTAGAGGTTGGATTAACAAAGCAAAGGAGCAATCTGAACTCAGATACCGGACTGTCAAGACGACTGGTGTGATGTAGATGTTGAAAGTGTTGTTAGGAGATCCAGGTTCAGGATCACCTTCAGTCATTAAAGCTCACTGGAGTGACCTTGAAACATACTTCCTCTCTAAAGTATTCCAATCCAAATTACCTTACAGATTAGTCTTTCGGGCAAAATAATTGGGGAAGGGAGTACTATGTACTTAAGATACTGGAAGAAAAGCTGAAGATAAATCTACCAAGTAAGTAACAACTAAATATCTTAAAAACATTAGCTGTACCATAACATCTAGCATAACATGTAACATAGTTATAGTTTTCAGATAACTGGTGAGGAATTTTGTTCTAATTTTCTGAAAATGGAAAAATGTGAAAGGGTGGTTGATGATTTCTGGATTTGACTATTGAAAAAAAGATTCAATGAGGAGCTGAAAGTATTATTGTAATGTTAAGGAGGGACAAGGATAATGAGCTTGTCATCATCATCATCATTATCATTTTAGCCATTGTCTATCCACTGGAGGATGAAGGTCTCTTCTGCATGTTTTCAACCAATATGGTCCTGAGCTTTCTCTTGCCAATTGGGCCCGTAAGTGGCTTCTTTACCTATCTTCTCTTTCTTTAACTGTATTTTTCCTCTTTTCTTTCTTTTCTTTATATACTTCTGCATTTGTCTTTTAGCTATGTAAAAACTTTTAATAAACCATGATTAAAAAAGAATTGTTCTCATTTTCTGTAGTCTTAAGTTAAAATTAAATTAAAAATAAAATTAGATTTGTCCTTGTTATGGTGCCACTCATAAGAGAACCCAAATACAGAGGGCTTCTCTTGCTCAACAGGTTGACCAGCAGCTGGAAAGAATGGAGCACAAGTCAAAGAACCTTTTCCAAAATCCTCAGGGCAACTCTGCAGTAACCCCAGAGCAGGCATGCAGCAACAATGCCTCTCCATTTGGGCCTATGTGGAAAGTGTTCCCCTGAAGGCAGATTGTCTTTCTGTAGAAATAAATGTTGTAAAAGAATGGATATGCAGAGGTCTTGGCTTAAAACTGTTCTTTGAATTTTGGTCAAGCAGTGATGAAATCTGCCTTCATTTCAGGATTATCTGCAAGATGATCTTCTCCAAATATATATAGTTGTTCTAACATGGAGCTTCATGGATATATATAGCTAACAGAGTGGGAGAGAACCTGTGGCTTAGAGGTTATAACAACTGCCTAACATGCAGATAAGCCCAGGTTCGAATCTCAGAAGAGTAAGTCTGGCTGAAGAGAGTTAATGGAACTCGAAATAGCTATACCAGTTCTCTCTTTATTCTTTGTTAGCAACCTAATATATATATATATATATACACACACACACACATACATACACATATATACATATATACACATATATATGCATGTATATGCTAATTTTGAAATGTTTTTGATATTATATTGTAACATATTACATATAAAAGTTACAGTTAAAATCCAATGGATTAAAACATATTTTTACTTTTCCAAAAAACTGCTGACACAAGGATTTTATATAAAAATTAAAAACCATGCAACAGCAATTTGACTCTGCAAATGCTTGAACACTTGCTCCTTTAAAAAAAAGCCCCTTAACATAGCATCTACAGTGCCTCAAGCAATTAGAATTATTTTCATATGACTCAGGTTATTGCAGTATAAACAAGCCCTGTTTCCTTAGTGCTTTATCTGAGGGATTAAAGTTTCTTTTCTCTTTTAGAGATCTGAAAATACAACCACTATCTGTTGCGTACTCTTACCACAATTGCAACAAGTCATGTGGACTCTCAGCTGGCCAGATATAAAGCAGCTGAGTCACCAAGCAATTTGTTCTTATATACCAGAAAACCCTAAAAATGTGAATGGTGCCTGCTTGTAATATTTGAGATAGGGAATTAGGGTCCAGCGCTTCACAGGATATGAGAATGAATAGAAAGTTCTAAAACCGAGCATAACCAATTATAACTGGCTTGTCTAAAGACAGCACAGCAACATAGAGTGCGTCCATCAAAAGAAGAGAGGGAGCTGTAAAGTCTAAAATATTTGAAGTTTGGTTTAAGAGTTCACCCACAGTGGCTGCCTCTCAGAAGATGCCTCTTAGAAGCATCGCTATTAACTGTTTCCCCAGCAAAAAGAGAGAAAAAAAATACTTGAAAGTATTCTCTTCTATGAGGAAGAAATGAAGAGAGCATCCGTATCAGAAAGAAGACTTTTTCAATAGATCCATTTGATATCTCACAATTTATTAGTTCAGACAACTGTATAATGCATATTAAAGGAGAAAATGTGAGGCCACAAAATTAGACTTAACCAATGGGTCTCCAATAAGAAATTGATTCATATTCAGGCTCTGTAAGTATAGCACAAACCTCTGTCTAACCATACACAAGCAGACAAAGTTCACTCATACATACACATTTTTTTCTTGACAGAAGTAGATCCAACATAGCAGATTTGCTTAGGAAGACCAAGGTTCACCTCCTGATTCAGCCACTGTCTCTTGACATAACTTATACAACAATGGGGATGTGAATACTATTGGATAAGCCCACATTTAGCACCATGCCCTCTACCCCTTGAATGCAATAAGGGCAAAGTCCAAATGAACACATACACACAAACACTCTTCAGGAGTCCACACCTCCACCAAGAAAGGGACTGTTGTTAGCTCCCTCATGCAACTTTGCATACAAAAGGCACAGTTGATTCAAGCAATTACCAATTCTGCAATAGCTGGCCTTAACTAGTTCACAGCCTATTCGCCATCTGTCTTTTTCATCCAGTGTGCTGAAACTTATCACTATTCTTTCCTAGCTTACTGCCTATCAAACCAAATATGCATACTCTAGAGCAGAGGTCCCCAACCTTTTGGGGACCAGGGACATTCCAAGGAGAGAGGTTTTTCTGTGGACCAGCGTGCTTTTGTGTGCTGCCTGCATCTCGCGGATGGGGCTTTCCTTGTTTGTGTGGACCAGTTGCTGGCATGCCATGGCCTGGTACTGGTCCACAGACGGGGGTGGGGGGGTGGGGGGGTGGGGACCCCTGTTCTAGAGTTTAGGTTTAGTCCACGTATTTTATTTTTGAGTCATTATTGACTCCTGATGATTGCCTGAACAAGTCCCTGCTGTTTTCTTTGCAAGAATTTTAAAAGTAATTTGCCATTGCCTGCTTTTTGGGGCAGTGTGTGTGAGAGACTGGCCCAAGGTCATCCAACTGTCAGTCTGTCTGCCTAAGGCAGGACTAGAACTCAGATTTCCTGGAATCCAGCCTGATGCCTTAACCATTACACCTAACTGGCTATCACATAATATGCCAAAAATTTAATGTGTATGTGTGGGGGGGGGGGGAGAAGGGTTTTCAACTAAGCCTAAACAGATTTAATGTCACTGAAAGAACTTTCACACCACTTTTAGAATAACTGCAGTTTGCTCATCCAGACACTAATAAAAGGCTGCATTATAAACACTTCAGCAGAGAGATGTGACAGTCTGAACGTGAAGATCAGGCAAGTGTGAATCAGCCACTTAATGTAAGCAAAATACCACGAAGTTTCCTAGCGTTCTCAAATATAATTAAAGTTCATGCAGCCAAGCATTAATCAACAACTGCACAGCAATCTAGTGCGTGGGTTGAAATCCTACTTATGCCTCTGAGAACGAACCTCGGAGGTTGCAAAATCAGCAATTCGCCCCGCACGTGAGAACCAGACAGAAAGGCTGTCCTTCCCTTACCCCGTTTTCAATCACGGGAGAAGGTAGAGGGGTCACTTACTTTCTCCTTCTTGGTTAAAGAGACGCTGCCACCGCCGCCGCCGCCGCCCTCCCCTTGTTCGCTACACTTGTTGAGCTTCTTCTGTCCGGCTCCGCCAATTCCCGGCGGGCTCCAGGTGATGGGAACGCCGCTGCCGCCGCCCTTACCACCTTCGCCGCTTTCTATTTTGATTAGCCGGTGCTTGGGGGAAATGTACTTGACCGACGCGGAGTCGGGCGGGGTGGCAGCCCGGCGTTCGCTGTGGCTGCGGAAGAGCTGAGGCGAAGCCGAGGCCGTCGAGGGGGTGGAGGAGGCGACGGCGGCGGTGCTGTTCCCGCCGCTGCCTACCCCGCCGCCGCAGCAGGACGAGGACGAGAAGGGCTTGGGACCCGCCGACTCCACCAACAGCTCCTCCGGCGCGCAATACTCGGCGCGGCAGAGCGCCCTCAGTTTGCGCAGCGATGAGCCCGGCCCGCTGTAAGGGTCTTCGAAGTCGCGCTCCTTTTGCGCGCGGTAGGCGCGAAGCAGGTCGCTGGTGTCGTGGCGGGGGAAGCACGGCGACGTGTGGTGGTGGTGGTGATGGTGATGATGATGGTGGTTGTGGTTGTGATGCCCTCCGCCGCCCGCTCCCGCCGTGCCGTTCCGCTTGTCCCGATAGTCCGGCCGGGGCGGCTGCGGAGGGCTCTTGGTCTTGTTATTGCCCAGGCTAAAGTACTTGTTCAGCCATTTGGCCATGACGGCACCCTGCCTCCTAAAGCACGCCGCCCGCGCCCATGGAGACCGAGGAACCGGGCGCCACCGCTTCAGGGCTGCACGCCTTGGCGTCCCTCCGGCTCGGGCGGCTGTTCCTGGAGCTCCCGTCCCTCCATGGGACCCGCTTCTTCGGTTCAGCCGTCCGTTCCCGGCCTCGCTAGAAACTTTTGCCCGGCAAACGCCTTCGCACCCTCCCAGCGAGGACTGGGAAAGCCCCCCACCTCGCTCCGGGCTGGGCTGGGCTCGCCTCTTCTCTCGCCTCAAAGGCGCCGCTTTCCTGCCTTCCCTGAACTTTGCCGAGTCGCCCGCAGGACCTGACGCACACAGGGCTGGGGCTGCAGCGGCTCCTCCTCCTCTGCGCTTCGGCTCCTCCCCGGCGGCCCTGCCCGGACGGCCGTACCCAGCGCCTGAAAAAGACTCCCCGTCCGCGGTGGCGACTGCTGCCTCGCGCGTCCGCTCGCGCAGCTCTCAGCTCCTGCCCGCCCGCCGAAGGCAGCTGGGCCCTACGCTCGGCACGCACCGGTGGGGAGGGGCCTGCGCACCGAGATGCCCCCGCCTCTCTTCTCCGCGCTGAGAGCGAGGAGGGCGGGTGCGCTTTCCTCCTCCTGGCAGGCGGTCGGCTTGGTTGTAGTTGGAAAGCGAGGAATTTCCAGCTCCGGCAAGAGGACGCGACTCTCTGGTTGCGCTTGTGAGAGGCCCCCGGGACGATCGCTTCCCCGCCCGAGGGCCAATCTCTGGCGGCGAAGTTGGTTTGCGCGATCCTCTTTTCCAGCCTTCGGTTGTCATTGTGTGTACGCGAAGGGCGGTCCTGCAGTTGGGGGAGCACCTGTAACAGGATCAGATTTTTAATCCAGGGGCTGATGAACCTGCTGGAATGTGGATGCCAGAAACCCAGTCACATACTCAAATGTTTGCTCCGTGTAGTTTTCGGTTTATTAGCGAACAAGGCATCTGCCTAAACTACACTTTCAGGTTTTCAATCCAGAACAATATTTTCCAGAACTGAACATGTTTGGGAATACTTTGCTCATGTTCAACCTTTCCTGTTTTAGGATCATAGTAACAGGTGCTGTTTTATTCCTTCACATTAATTCCTCCTCTTCTTTTCCGTCACTGAGAGCTGCTACTGCATGGTTGATTTCTGTGCTTGGCAGACAGAAATTAGCACACCTTGAAATTAGCAAGATGAGAACAACGCCTGCTAGGAAATAAGATTTGCACGACTGAACTGCTAATAAAAGCATACCTTTATTATATTTGTACATATTATTTAGCCAGATGTACAAAAATAGACTTTCAGGACCTTCAAATCGCTTAATTAAAGGAGGAATGAAGAGAGAATCTAAAAAGACAAATTGCTACTAAAGGCATTTGACATGGCCAAAATGTCAACTTTTAGCTCCACTACTGCTTTAGGCCAGTCAACCTCTCATTGATCTACCTCCAGTCTGTAAAATAGGAACGCAGGCTAGTTATAGAAAAGATTGTGATGACCAATGGTCTTCACAATGAAATCTTACCTCCATTTTCTGTGCAGACAAAGGCTGTGCCAACCATTGAAGCAGTTGCACAGCCTGAAACACCAGGTGCCAAGGACTTCTGCCACAGCAGAGCTGCTGCATGGAAAGATAGAGTGCACTTTTGGAGAAAGTTTTTTTGATTTTTCTATACTATGTTTTTATTGCTAGTAAGCTACCTATAGCAAGTAGGCGGCCAAATAAATTGAATGAATAGCAGGCTAGTGTGAATTTGTATGTTGCTAGTGGGGTTCCCACATTGAATAAAACAGGATGTTGATTTGGTTTTATTATTTATTAACTTATATGCCACTCATCTCACTATCGAAGCAACATCTGGTTTTGGTTTCATGCAACATTTGAACGTGTGGTTGATAGATTAGTTTTTTTGCTTTTTTTGCTATTCCTAGGTTTATACTGTGCCTTTCATTCTGGAGATTAAGGCATGTATAGGACACTTTTTTTTCTCCATAACAACAACCTTATGAAGTAGGTTGGTCTGAGAAGGGGAAAATGGCCCAAAGTCACTCACTGAGCTTTGGTGGGTAACTTTCTACTCTAGAGCTTCTTCAGTAATCCATTATTAAAGCAAATTAGTGATAACAAAGGGAATCTAGAGATTCCACTAACTACCTCATGCAGATGCAAGCTGTAAGTGAAAGAGATAAAGAAATGTGCTGAACCAGCATGAGATTTTAGCACTTTAAGTCTTATCAAAAATTGGCAGCCAGCAAAGTGTTCTACAATGAAGGTAGCTGTTTTATATGAAGGTAGAGTTCTGTCTATTTAGCCCATTGATTTCTTTTTAAAATTAGCACAGCAGAAGAGAAATCAGCAAACAACAAAACTTGCTGCACATCTACCTATTACTCAATAGCATTTGTAAAGCAGGAAGGAGTAGGAAATATGTAAATACATAATTGACACTTGCCCACTTCTCTGTGATCCTGTTTGTAGCTCCCTATACTTAACCAGAGACTTTTTTATGTTCAGCAGAAAAACTGGAATGCATCTGGTGGGCATGGCTAATCGGTTCTCAAAATGACACTTTTAATATACAGCAGTTTACAGGGTTTCAATCAGTTATATTTTCATATCTGCATATTTCTAATAGATGCTTGTTCCTCTGTTATTCAGGTTCACATGTACTGTTTTAACTATCTATCTCAAATGCAGTATGCTATAGCTTATCCAATAACATGGTTTGCTTTATAGAGTTTAGGTTCTTTGGATTGGCTGTGCCTCTTTTCCTGCTTATCATTCCTGGGATTTCTCAGGCCTGAAAATTAATCTAGTTTTGATGGACTAAATCTGTTGCCATTGAGAATATATTCTTTAATTGTCTGCCAAGACTCCATTAGTTTTTATGAAACAAAAATGAAAAGCCAGAAGGAATACAGATTGAAAGTCAAAATGAAAGCAGCACAGAGACAAAACGGTGAACAACTACACTAGTGTACAAAGCAGATGTAGGAATACGTGATAGTCTGGGGAAATGAAAGGTGCCAGATTGTTTTATTGGGGTGATATAAAACAGGAGACTCTTGACTTGAGCCCTTCTAAAAAAAGGAAACATGAATTTGAATTATGTATGCCAACTCCACAATTAACCTGCACATATGCAAAACACAAGTTGCTCATAAACTCGATATTTACTCTGGAAAGATAAATGAATTCCCTCTGAGTAGAATATGCATTGGTGTTGTCACAATGCTGAATTGGTGGCAGTCAAGATCAGAGTATATTAATGGGCACATTTGGTGAATGCTTGCATCAAGTGTCATTTCCACTAAACATTGGAGCTGAGTTCTAATTACAAAGATAAATATAAAAAAAATAAGCACTGTTGGATTAGACCATGAAATTTGAATTCCAGCACCACCACCAATTTGTGGAAGAATTGAGTCAAGAAAATGATGCAACTCTATGGTCAAAACTAGTTCCGAGATACTTCATGAGTGACATTCATATATGGCTAAACTGAGCCACATTGTGGCTATATTCACCCACAGTACTACACCACACTATGATGTTTTTGATTTTGCTTTTTTAGAAGGGCCCGGCCATTATGACTAACTTAGCAATTTATCTTTAAACAGACTGATTTGCATAATGTGCTAGCCCAATTACTGAGCTTTGCTACCCCAACCAAAGGTAACCAACAATATGGAGCAGAAATAGGGAGATCTATGTACTTCAGTCACATCACAAGATAACTCTTCTAAATGTTACAAGATAGCATTTAATTGTGGAAGGCATGCTATTTTTGACAGTCATGCTGCTATGTTACTAAGGATTTAGAAATTAGGATAATTCTCAGAGGGGCTGCCACAAAGAAGAGGGGGTCAACTTATTTTTCAAAGCATCAGAAGGCAAGACAACATATAGTAATACAGATGGAAACTAAACAAGGAGAGAAGCAACCTGTAATTAAGGAGAAACTTCCTAACAGTGAGAACAATAAACCAGTGGAACGGCTTGCCTTCAGAAGGTGTGGGTGCTCCATCACTGGAGGCTTTTAAGAAGAGATTGGACAGTCACTTGTTTGAAATAGTGTAGGGTCTCCTGCTTGAGCAGAGGATTGAACTAGAAGACTTCCAAGGTCCCTTCCAACTATCAATAATCAAAAAGTTTATTATTACAGCCAAAGGCCAACACATAAATTAAACATTCAAATAAAACAAAACTAAATAGAACCAACACAAGAAGACATAGCAATATATTACAATTAATGATGAAATCAATGGGTGACCAAGGTCTGCCTAGTTTTACAGACAGTGTAACAAAAACTAGCTACCTTCAGAAAAACTGAATCATACTGACCTGACAATAAAAATACATTGAGTATAGTCTAGTGCTGGATAAAAACATGTAATAAAATTAATTATAAATAATTATTAAAAAGATCTAAAATGTTTATGTTTCTGGCGAATCCCTAATGGTGCTGCACAGAATCTAGCCACCTGCGCCGTGATCACTGCCTGCTCATCCTTAAGCAGCCACTGGAGATAAATACTTTTCGAACGACCAGGACACCTATCAATTATGGGGAGAATATGGTTTTTCCGAATAGCTCTATAGAAGGAACATCGAAGGAGTATGTGTCCAGTGGTCTCCACCCCTCCTGGGCCACAGGAGCAGAGTCTTTCAGCCAATGGTGTCTTTTTATATTTGCCGTACAGGACAGCTGATGGAAATGCATGGCACCGTGCAAGTGAGAATACTTTTGGGTGGTTTACTGACTCCAACTGACTAAGATACCTGGCAGGTGTAACCACATATCTAATAGAGTCTGGAACCAGAAACAGCGGAGCTATACCTAAGTCTGCTTGCCTCTCGATGTCCTTTACCCTTTGATGCAAGGTTTGTTTTGCTTGGTTGTAGTCCAATTTGAGAATTGAGGCTGACGAGAAGCCTAGTTTGGCAAGGTTGGACTCGACTGCCTTGATACATGAAGAGGAGAATTTATCTTGAAGAATTAATGGAGCAAGGCTTTGCGGAAAGCAATTAAGCCTTAGCCAGATGTTTAAGGAAGCTATACAGATTCTTGCTTTGACTTTTATCAATCCTGTCTCCAGGCACAGAAGTGCATTTGGGACACAGCGTGGCATCTGGAGAATTGTTCTGATAAATTTGGATTGAACTCTTTCCAGTGGTGTAAAGCACGAAGCTTAGGGTCCAAACAAGTTCCCATAGAGAAGCTGTGCTAGTGACTTGGCCAGAAAGAGCTTAATTGCAGCTGGAACATAGTGTCCCCCCTTTGCGCGGAAAAAATTAAGAATGGCATTTGCTGATCATTGGCCAGAAGCAGCTGCGTATTCTCCATGGGCTTTTTGTGAGCCAGTGGCATGGATGACCACCCCTAGGTGGTTACTTGCTCTCTTTTGTGACTATTTAAATACCATGAGTACCGTTTTGGCCTTTTTGCAAAAGCCATAACCTTTGTTTTCTCATAATTTATGTCCAGTTTATTATATTTGCAATACTGGACAAGGGCTCGCAAGGCTCTTTTAAGGCCAACTGGAGTCCTGGAGAGAATCACAGTGTCATCTGCATAGAGCAGCAGAGCAATGCTTCAGTCACCTAATCCAAATAATTTGGATTATTTAACCATTTTACCATATCATTTATGTACAAATTGAAGAGCGAGGGGGTCAAAATGCACCCCTGTTTAACCCCCTTTTGAATTTCAACTGACCTTGAGAGAGACCCTTGCATATTACACCTCCCCTTGAGGGATGTTTTGGTATGTAAGGCACTTAACAGATGGAGGAG